TTCACAGAAACGCCCATTAGGTCAAGTTGCTTGAGGGCAGTTCCCCAGACTCCCTATAGCCACTGTGAATTTCTATCTAAATATTTTGTCAGTGCTAACAAGAGTGTTAAAAAGTACAACTAGAATTACAGATCTGTCAGTTTTTGCTTCATATGTTTTGATGAAATGACTCTCATCAGTATGAAATGTCTCATTATCCCCAATATTTCTTGTTCTGTAGTCTACTTCGTTGGATTTTAATAGTCATTCTAGCTTTATTTTGATTAGTTTTTGCACTGTACTATATATATTTCTATTAATTACTAATTATTTTGATCTGTTTCAAGTTGGTTTCTGGCAGATACTAAGGAGTTGGGTCTTGTTTTTACATAATAAAGGGCACTTCAGAAGTTTGTGGGAAATAGAATTAAAAGAAAAATTCACAACCTCAGCTCTATTTATCAACATAAGCTCCTTCAGGTTTAAGACATTCGTAAGTAATACCAGTCACTGAGTGCATCCCTAAAGAACTGATGAGGGTCCTGGCAGTTTAACCACGTCAACACAGCCCTTTTTACATAAAGAAAAAAAATTGCATTCCCTTTAGCTTTTAAGATTCAGAAACAAAAGTAAGTCAGAAGGAGCCAGGCAAGCTCATCAGATGGATGTCTCGTGATGTCCCTTAGAAACTCATGTCAAACGGTCCTGGTTTGTAAAGTGACTGTTGGGATGGAAAAGAGAATTCTGGTGAAGTTTGTGAGGCATTTCCCTGCTAAAACCTGGGCTAACTTTGTCAGAGATTCTCCCAATAACCAGATGTTACCATTCTTTGGCCCTTCAGAAAGTCAAACAAAATGCCTTGTCTGCATCTGACACTGCTGCCGTGTCTTGCTCCTGACCGAGTTGCCTGGCTGGGGTAGACCTCCACCTCTGGCTGGGGTAGACCACTCCACCTCCGGCTGGGGTAGACCTCCACCTCTGGCTGGGGTAGACCACTCCACCTCTGGCTGGGGTAGACCACTCCACCTCTGGCTGGGGTAGACCACTCCACCTCTGGCTGGGGTAGACCACTCCACCTCTGGCTGGGGTAGACCACTCCACCTCCGGCTGGGGTAGACCACTCCACCTCCGGCTGGGGTAGACCACTCCACCTCCGGCTGGGGTAGACCTCCGGCTGGGGTAGACCACTCCACCTCCGGCTGGGGTAGACCACTCCACCTCCGGCTGGGGTAGACCTCCATCTCCGGCTGGGGTAGATCACTCCACCTCCAGCTGGGGTAGACCACTCCACCTCTGGCTGGGGTAGACCACTCCACCTCTGGCTGGGGTAGACCACTCCACCTCTGGTAGCTGCTGCCTTCCTTGTGCTGTGTCTTCAGGATCATGCTGGTCCAGCCCCCAGGACCCCACTTGATGGCAACTTCCACGGAGAGCTCTGCTCTCGATCCCAGCTGATCTGAGCACAACGGCTTAGGTACTCAGCAGCAGGCTTTCTCCACTTTCGTTTTTTAGCTAGAATTGTGTAAACAGAACTGAAATGTCTTGCGTTGGCTATTGTTTCTGCTATTCATCTCTGTAAAGTGCCAGAGATGAATTGTTTCAGCTGCTGCAGGCCCTAGGATCTCAGTCACAACCAACTCTGCCATTGTGCCAAAACCCACAGACATGCCTAAGTGTAGCTTTTACTATCAAATTTGTTTGCCGAAACAGTCACAAGTAACACTTAGAAAAAAAAAAAAACTATACATTTGTATTAATCTCTTCAACATAGTTTATGATGTGATACTTCTTGCACTACCAAAACATTGTTGTTTTTAAAGATTTATCCACTTATTGGAAAGGCAGAGTTACAAAGACAAAGTGACAGAGACAGAAAGAGACAGAGGTATCGTCCATCCACTGGTTCACTTCCCACATGGCCACAACAACCAGGACCAGGCCAGGCCAAAGCCAGGAGCCAGGAGCCTCCTCCAGGTCTCCCACATGGGTTCAGGAACCCAAGGAGCTGGACCATGCTTCATTGCTTTCCCAGGTGCATCAGCATAGAGCTGGGTCTTTCTCTTAAGATCTTCTCTATCCTTGATTTTTCGCAGTGTTTTGTGATTGTGACATGCCTGGCTGTGACTCTGTCCACATTTATTCCACTTCTGCTTTGCTGAGCTCCCTGAACTTGGACATTGATGTTTTTCTTCACTTTTGGAAAATCTGAAGCCATTTCTCCAAATTTGTTTTCTTCTCCTCTGTCCCACCTCTCCTTCTAATGACCACCTGATAGACACATACCCACAGGTCACAGAAGTGGCGCTTACTTTTTCTTGTCATTCTTCACTGTTATTGCTGCTAGTCCAGATAACTGAGCACTTCTTCCTGCTATTAAGCCAAGCCAAGGAATCTTGCATTTCAGATATGTCTCAATTCTTGAAGTCCCATTTGGTTCTTTACATAGTGTCCCATCTTCACTCATTTTAGTCACATGTCCAAGTCCATAAACATAATTATAGCTGTTGGGTTTTTTTAAAATGTTTATTTGAAAATGGATGACTCATTTTTTAAACTTGTTATCTGATTTTAAAACTTGCCATTTTCAAAGTCTCTGCTGACAGAATCACCTCCTGTCATTTCTGGGTCTGTTTCTATTGAAGGACTTTCCTCTTGGTTATGAGTCATGTCTTTTCCTGGGTCTAGCAATTTCTGACGAGACACTGGACATCTTCCATGTTGCTTTGTTAGGTATCTGGATTTCAGGGTCTTGTTTTAAGGAGTGCTGAGTTTAGTGTTGGTGACACCCAAGTTACTCACCTATCAGTCTGATCCATTTCAGGTATCTTTCCGAACATTGCTGGCAAGGGTTTGGGGGGGTCTTTACTCCGGAGCAGGGATTGGGAAACTTTCTGTAAAGGGCCAGATACTATTTTACGCTCTGAACCTAAATCACAACTCAATTCTGTAAATGAATGAGTGTGACTAATATACAGTACAACTTTATTGATGAAAATAGGTGGCCAACAGTACAGACCAGGATTTGGCCCACTGGCTACATTTAGCTGACCCCTCCTCTTGAGCTGGCTTAGCCCTTGCACTCATGACTCTTTGGGGTCTTTGTGGACAGTATAGGTGTTTGATGAGGGCTGTCTGCTACAGCTAGAAGGTCAACACCTTCCAGTCCTATGTGACCGCCAGCTACAGGCATTTCATAGCCTCCAGATTTCTCTCTTCTCTAGCAATGTTCTCTGACTTCCTGGAACCACATTTCTCTCAAGTACAGCTTAGTCCTCAGCCACAAGTCAATGCCCCCAAGGCATCTTTATGCATAGCTCCCTCTGGGCCGACACCTGCCTTTCTCAAGTTTTAGCCACTTGGCCGTCCTCATCTTGTTGCTGCCTCTTTAATTCACCACGCCCCCACCTGGATCCCTATCCTTGTGCTGGAGCACAAAAAATGTCTCGGGGCAGAAAGTCAGGTGATCATAATATGAGGATGTAAGACACAGAGCCAAGTGTCTGCATTCTCAACTGAACATCAAGTCCAGTGCTAGAAGCACAGCAAGATCATTCTAGAAGAGGCCTACCTGCCACCGTTCATTTTAGGAGCACTACCTGTGCTATGATGTCTTAGACACAAAGAACTGTGACAGTTTTTGGAAAGGCAAACTTATCCCCCTTACGTCTAATCCCTCTGGGTCGCCGGTGCCGCGGCTCACTAGGCTAATCCTCCGCCTAGCGGCGCCGGCACACCGGGTTCTAGTCCCGGTTGGGGTGCCGGATTCTGTCCCAGTTGCCCCTCTTCCAGGCCAGCTCTCTGCTGTGGCCAGGGAGTGCAGTGGAGGATGGCCCAGGTGCTTGGGCCCTGCACCCCATGGGAGACCAGGAAAAGCACCTGGCTCCTGGCTCCTGCCATCGGATCAGCGCGGTGCACCGGCCGCAGCGCGCCGGCCGCGGCGGCCATTGGAGGGTGAACCAACGGCAAAGGAAGACCTTTCTCTCTGTCTCTCTCACTGTCCACTCTGCCTGTCAAAAAAAAAAAAATCCCTCTGGGTCAACACTTTGGACCCCACTTTAACTTCCCAGGTTGAAAGGACAAGGCCAAAACTGATCCAAACCTTCCAACCCCCAGCAGAATTAGTTTGTATTAGAAAGCCAAGGGATTCACAGGGAAAGGATAATCCAGGAGAACAATCACCTCACTTGACTGCAAAAGGCAGCTGACACAAGTCACGGAGATGGAAACAGCGAGGCTATTTAAAAATCTCTCTAGAGACAAATATAATTTTGGAAGCAATCCATTTTACAGCTAGGGTAAGTAAGACTCAGAGAATGGAAATAGCTCATCTTCCTATGTGGCTATTTGGTCCAAAGACCCAGCAGTACTCTGACACCAATTCGTGTTTCTCTTGCTGGCAACATTTCTGAGTCCAGAAAAACACAGGCTGCAGTTTTTATTTTCAGTCTCCTTGTAGCCATGGGTGTCTTCTTCCCACAGCAAGACTTCAGGAGAAGACCTGCGCCCCTGCATTTCATTTTATGCCAGACACAGGACGTACTCAGACACTTGTTATTTAAAGGGGGATGGTAGATGCCAGAGTTTCTCCTGCGTGGTAGCAGGGTACAACAAAAGGCTTTGCTCACACGATGTTCAACAGCACTAGGAAAGCCCGACTCGTGTTTTCCCCTGCACACAGCGCTCAGTATCACGAGCTCTGCTCGTCTGACTCCGATCACCAGCAGGGTTGGTCTGTTTGTGGAGATCCAAGGCCCTGTAAGGTGAACCCTCTCCAGTGAGGAGCTTACACCCCCTTCTGGAAGATGCTACTGCAGAGAGGAGCAACAACAAAGAGAATTTCAGACCGCTCTCTGCCCAGGCATGGACACCAGCATCACCGTTCTTAAAAAAAAGTCCAGACAGACTCTGGGGCAGCACTGGCCTAAAACAGCAGCCATATTCCTTAAAAAAGATTCTGTTCTCTTTCCTCCCGGCCTCCCCGTGTTCCACATAAACATTTCCCCGAAGTAAGAGGGACTTACCCTACTATTACTATAACAAAATCCAGTAAATTCCATCCGTTCCTAACGTAAGCATTAGGATGCAGCAGTAATCCATACGCTATAATCTTCAAAAATGTCTCGACTGTAAAAATAATCAGGAAGGCATATTCTACTTTTTCCTGCAAGGAGAAACAAAGAAACATGCCAGAATAAAAAAAGAAAAGAGAAACAGGAATTACAATCAGCATCTCAGAGGCATAAGCATTTTTCTCCAAGCAAAGTTTTATGATGAAAAATCAAACAATTAGCCTGTACCTGGGCCAGGGAGGCATTTTAATTTTAGTACTGAATTTCTCATAAGCAACTAAGTGTAAAATGCGTTTTCATCCCAGGCTGCACAATTGCATTTTGCCGCCCGCCCTGATATGTGTGCAGCACGTCGGCCTAGGGTGTAGGTGTGCCTGCTGTTTGCACACATCTTCTCCACACAGCATGTTTTCCACCCGAGATTGCCAAATCAGGTGCAGAAAGGCACAAGGGAGCCACCGAGGTTCCAACAGCCCCTTTGAATGGGACGTCCCCTGGAAGCAGGCTCTAGGGGGACCCTTCTCCTTGGGTTTACATCAGAGCGCTAAGTCAGAGTCAGCTTTGTCACCAAGTAGCAAGGCGACCTTGGGCATGCAAGTTCCTCCCCTGCTCCGCACCCAAGTTTCCCCACCCACCACACAGCAAGGGGGTGAACTAAAATGGCAAGCACACTGCCTGTCTACTGGCATGCTGGCTCTCCCCAGCCGGCACTGCTGACAGGTCACCATGCACTTGCCCAGACAGCCTGGCCTTGGCCTCTGACTGCTTCTCTTCCATCAACCTCAGCAGACTTCTCATCTGGTTGCCACAGACCTCAACAGTCCTAGCTGGGGGCTGATGACTGTTACAACCTCTCCAGTCCCATGCCATGCGACTGCGCAAGCTGTGGGAAACCCATCAGTTGGCAGGTCTACACACTGACTCTACTCTTCCATAAATCCTTTCTTTACATGGCTTTGGTTTCTACAGATATATGGACCAATGGGGTTATGCGTAATTAAGTTACCCAGGAGGCATTCCCTGGCAAGAAGCAAAGCCAAACTCATCAGTACTTTTAATTCCTCAATACTAACATTACCTGTGAGACCCGCACAAAGTTGCCAGAAGTGCTTAGGGAAATTGAAGTCAAGAACTGTACTAAAATGGTTTATGCGAGAAGTCCAAAGAAATCTGCCTTAGCAAACAGCTCACGAGCACCTCCACTGTGCAACAGGCACCGCACCAGGGTAGGAAAACATCCCTGCCACGGGCCCTTTGCTTAGTAAGCAATAGTCTGGTGCATGAGTAAGGACTGCAAATGCATACCCAGAGCTACAGAGCAGAGAGAGGGGAATGACAAGAGCAATCCTGAGCCTTCAGCACTTTGCTAAGGCCGAAGGTCAACCCCACCTCTCCTCTGCCCTTGAAAAGGGACTGAGTCCAGAGAAAGAAAAGGAAAATAGGACTCGGTGGTTTTGTAAGTACTCACTATCGCAGACATGTTCATTTATCACGAGAGAGAGACACACACAGATAGACAGACACACTCTTGTCTGCTGGTTCACTCGCCAAATGCCCAAGGCTGAAGCTGGGAGACAAGAACACAAGTCAGGTCTCTCTCGAGGCTGGCAGGAACCCAATTACTTGAACCATCGCTGCTTCCTGCCAGGGTCTGTGTAAGCAGGAAGCCGGAGTCAAGAGGAGGAGCTTGGAGTAAAAGCCAGGCACTCCAATGCGGGACACGGGCATCTTCATCCACTAGGCCAAATGCCTGCCCCGTAGGCACATTTCTACAAAGGCAAATTTGTTTTAAGAAAATTTTAAGTTGCTGAAGAGAAACAATATCTAAAATAAACAGCTTTTTCAAATATTCATTTTGGGATGATCCCTACAGTCCTGACTCCCTGAAAAACTGTCAGTGGATAGATACCTGTGTGCAGAAGCCCAACACCCTGCTACATCTGAATGTGAACCTTGTCTCAGCTGCCCCAGGCGCTTGCTGACTCAGCCAGAGTGCTGCCCCAGGCGAACTTCCCCAAGTCTTGTCACCAGTGTCCTCCCTTCTCAGCCACCAGGGGAACCAACCAACCATGGCTGAGCATCCTGGAGGTCACCCCTCGTCTCACAGGCCCACTGGCTGTGTAGCTCATGGGTTCTTCCCTCCCAGGTCCCAGGGCTGTGGAAGGTGCCTGGCATTTCTAAGCCTGCCCTCCAGAGCTGCCAGGGATCTACAGAGCACTCCCCTAAGCAGTCTGATCAATTCTTGCCAGGTGTGAGTTAGCCAGGGTCAGTGTGTTTGCCATGTGAAGTGGCAGCCCTGACCTCTGCACTCACACCTCCTCTCAACACTCTAACCGGTCCTGTTCTCAGCCAGGCTCATCCTGCACACCCTCCCTCTCGCACACCTTCTGGCCGTCACCTTGCACCCCACCTCGGGTCTGGAGAGCCCCGTGGGATGCCCTCAGAGAGGCCCGAATGCCCCTCTTGTGCCACACACAGCTCGACAAGGATGCTCTTGTCTGTGGGTCCACTCCCTGCCAGCCTCAGCAGATGCTGCCACGTGAGACACACAACGCAACCGCACACTCAAGCGGCAGCAGCTGTTCCAAGAACAGGGGCCAGCTTTGCTACTGGGTGGGGGGCGGAGACCTGGGGAGGCTTCCAGGAGGCAGTGACACTAACTCTGAAAACCCAAAGACAAAACGAGTTCTGTGACTCGAACCCAGAGGCAAAAATCCCAGAACAAACCCATCCCAGTGTCCTGAGTCAGCCTGGCCCCTGCCCTGAGTGTACGTCGGCTCTGTGTTTGAGACTCAGAGTTCTAAGGGAACAAGATAATCTAAAAACAGCATGCTGCTTTTACACTCCCTCTCCTCGTTTCATCCCTTCTGCTTTATTTACTAGGCCAGACAGGAAGAAGAGGCTCTACTGCCATCAGTATTCACAGCGGCTCCAACCCGGCGTGAGGAGCACCGACTTCAGAGCAGGGGGACGAGGCTGGGAACACGGAGCGTGCCCAGCAGACACTGCCCACTTCCCTGCGGCTTTCATTCGCAAGTGACTGCCACGGTGATGCAGGGACCATGAGCATAATCGAGCTGCTCCCAATTCTTTATCCCCCTCCCATGTGCCCTCCTCCCTCCCCTTCCCTTTAAGGAAGCTGGCTCCTCTTTCCAGTCACTTACTTGATGGAACGGAGTCTAAGAAACGTAAGCTTGCTTTCCCATTAACGGGATTCTCTCATACAGAGACTCCCCTGCACAGCCAGGGGACGTCTGCTGGCCTGGAAGCCAGTGTCCTCGGGTCCTTAATCCTGCCATTAAGGAGCACTGCTACAAGACAGGTGCCCCTGGGAGACAAAGGCAGTGTTTGAAGAAAATGCTGTGGGGGTGAGAGCTGAGGCACGGTGGGTTAAGCCACCGCTGGGGACACTGGCAGCCCAGAGCGGAGTCCTGGCTGCCCTGCTGCTGACCCAGCTTCCTGCTAATGCAGATCCTGAGAGGCAGTAGTGACGGCTCAGGTACTTGGGCCCCTGCCATCCATGGGGGAGACCCACAAGCAGATTTGGATTTTGGATTTGGGCCTGGCCCAACCCTAGCCGTTGTGGGCATTTGGAGAATGAACCAAGGGATGGAAGATTCGATCGCTGTCGTTCTGCCTGTGAAATACCTATTTTCTTTATGTTACGAAACAACAATCTAGGACATAGGATAACCATTTGCTTCACGAAGGGATTGTTCATTTGAGGAAACAGAGCCAAGTTAGTAATTTGACAGCAGAGTCAACCAGAAAATCAGATTTCTAACCAGGTGAGGCCAAAATGGGCAGAGAGCTGGCAAAGCTGGGTGCAAGGTGGCTCAGAGCAGACTCTGAGGTCTGTGGCCATGATGGATAAGGACACCGAGGAAGAGGCAACAGCAGGGATGAGGGACGAGATGGAGGAGGAAGGGGCAAGCAGCAACTCTCCAGAACTGGACATGAAACGAGCTATCTCCCCTCTGTCAGACAGGGTAGGGCCCTCCCAGGCTCCACAGACACAACCAATGACTCCTGCACCCCAATCCACCTCTACTTCCAGGCAGAGCCATGCCGTGGCTATCAGCCACCCACCAACAAGGCTCTCTTCACACTGGTCTTGAGTGGGCAGAGCCCTGCCGACTTCTAAGAAAGCCACTACCAGAGACCATTTGATAGATAACAAAAGTCCCTGACGAGACATCAAGTCACCAGAGCAACAAAAGCTCAGACCTAACTCGGAGGGGCAGGTGTTGTGTTGCTTGGGAGGCCTGCGTCCTATACTGGAGTGCCAGTTCAAGTCCCAGCCTCTCTGCTTCCCACCTACCTTCCTGCTGATACACACGCTTAGAGGCAGCAGATAATGCACAGCTCAAGGACTTGGGTCATGGACACCCGAATGGGAGACCTGAACTGAGTTCTAGGCTATTAGTTTCAGCCTTGTTCAGCCCCGTCTGTTTCAAGTACGTGGGGAGCCAACCAGTGGACGGAAGCACGCTCTGTCCCCGTCACCCACCCCTGCCCCACCTTTCAAGTAAACAAAACCTTTTTTCAAAATTTAACTCAGAAACATGATTCATCTTCTGAGAACAGTGTAATTCCATCAAGAGGACAGTCTCTAAACCAGTTAACAATTGCTGTTACTGAGAGTGTTGTGTAGGGTTAACTACCAGGGACTGGGAGATGCCAAAATTCTTGATGGTAACAGTTGGTGTTCTCTACTTTCTCTCATATACAAAGGGCTCCTGTTGCTAGTGCCATGGTATGGACCTCTGTCCATCCAAATGTTCCCCTGTCCACCTAGCCCTGAGCACCTGCGTGTCCCTCAACAAAGCCTGGACCCCTCACCTGATGGAGCCAGGTGAGATTCACCTGTGCTCAGCCCATCCAGCCACACGGCCCCAAGGCTTGGGAAAGGCCTTCCTGGCATTCACCTTGCAGTAGCTGCAGCCACCCCTCACCTCTTCTACGCCTTCCTGGTGCTCTGCACTTGGCACCTCTTGCTGTCTTTGCAATTCTAGCACCATATCAGGCATACACCAGGTACTCAAGGTGTCAATCACAAGTACAGAAGAAACAAAGGGAAGGAATAAAGCAA